GGCTCCCAGGTGGTAAAAAACTTTGGAAGCAACCAGGGCGGCAAACTGGCGGCTCCGAAAACCTTCATCTTCATAGAGAACTTCACTGCAGAGGAGGGAGAGAAGAGCATCAGCTCTGTGTGCTCAGATCTCTTTAAGGCCACATAACTCAAAGTAACAAGCATGACTGAACTTGCATCTTTGGGACCACAGCTCCAACCCCACAACAAACACATCAGAGATATCTAGGAAATAAGGAACTACATGCTGTATTAACCACTGTCAAGAAACCAGAACTACATCCACTTCATATCCTATGTTCTTTTTAAGCAGTATTAAGTGTCTTCTCTTACATTTTGTCCACTGACTCAGAGATTTCTGCCCAGAAGTCATTGACAACAGCATTCAACTTGTGAAGAGCAAACTCCTAGAAAAACCAAAAAAGGTAAAGTTATATTATATTAAAAATGTATTTACCACCTTTCCCCAGTAAAAATGAAGTACATTCTAGGATGAATATCATGAACGCTGACCCATTTCAACAGCTAATTCTATTTTAAAAGATCTTTGCAATTCCTTTGCAAATAAGGATCTGTTCACAGGTAAGACAACTCTAGCATTCCTTTCCATGGCCTGTCTCTGATGAATAACTGGCTGATGTGTCTGACAGATTAAATTGTGACAAACCTTTGTGTAGCACATGGAATCAACCTGTGGCCTACAGCAGCTAACTCTATTTATCTATATGGACAAAGTAGTTCAGATGATAAACTACAAACAGCCCACAGCAAAATCAGGGATCATTCAGATCCATTACTACTACCTATGTATATATCCAAGAAAAGTAATTAGGGAATTACAATTACTGAAAATTGCACGTTCCATCAACACACCACAACTCTGAGTGTTGGTGTTTGGTGGATTCATACCCTCTGTGCACTGGAAAGCTGCTGTTGCTGTTTTCTTCTTCTTGTACTATTACTGTGATTTTTTTTTTCCATGTGAAAACTGTAACTGTGATTTTGTTCTACACTGGTTTAATTCTAAAATCCTGAGCTGTTCTTCAGCTTTGAATTTTATGTAGTCAAAATGCAGTATCTGGAACAATTTTAAGTAACAAAGCCCCTTACCACCAGAGAGACAGGAGCTTGCATGAACAGAGATTTTTGCAGTTGAAGCTCCTGTTTGATCCACGCTCAAAACAAGGAAGTTTGCAATCTGTTATCATTTATTTAAGCCCTTTCTTTTAGCTTTCAGGCTAGATTCAATTTGGTGCCCACCTGCTGCTGCCCAACCATAAATTACTGAGATCTGCTCCTTTTTGACATTAAGCTCTCCACATAATGCATTTGCTATTACTTGCTCTCAGATGTAAGAGCTTACCTTGAGCTGTGGCTCTTCTTCATCCAGAAGAGAGATAATTCCAGCTGCAAAACAAAATCATAGTTACTTTTGGTTTCTCTGTATCAAAAGTAAGCTTGTCATTTAGTTCAAAACCAACAGAACAGGAAAGACAGATGTCTCTGGAATGCTGATTTTAAATCTCTAGTACAAAACTTCAAAGATCAGATTCAAGTTTGTATTAAATATAACGAAAAATAGTTTAGAATTTGTAACTGAAAAGGTACATTATTTATAAAAGGTGATCCTTCCTAGGGGAAAACAAAGAATTTTTCCATGCCAAGGAAATTGGCCTCATGGATGAGAGGAGATGCACCTCACAGCTTTATGCTTTTGACTGCAGATCTTGTCCCAGAACATTTGTACAGTTGCAAAAATACTGTTTAACTGATATGACTGACAGGTTCACAGGAGCTAATCTGAAGAACAGGGATAAGTGGTTTCATTATCAGACTGCAAAGGCACAATGGAAAAGGCTGGAATATGATCTGATCAAAGTCCAGCACAATTCACTGCTTTAAATCTTTAATCTGTCGTACACCTTGACAACTTCTTTAAATCTGAAAAAACACATGAAACTGGAAAGGCCAGCAAGCCTTTGAAGGGCTGAACTGGGCTTCCAAAAGATCTTGACAAATCTAAAAGAAGCATGTGCAGCTCCTGGAGGGAGTTGAGCTTTCCAACTGGTTGGTCTACAGACACCTGGGAACGGTGCAGCGCTCAGGGCAGCTGCCAGCAGGAAGGGAATAATCTGACCATTGTGCCAGATATTAACAGGAAAAGTAACACCAAGCTTTAGGGAAGCCTCAAAGAATAAGGTTTGATGATCTGAAAAGTTTTCTCACAAGAACACATTCATTCCTTTGCCTAATGAAGTGGAACCTCCATTATCAGGTACTGTTCTTAAAGACCAGGTTAGACACACATCCTTCAGCAGCCATCCTGCTTCCAGCTCCTTCCTGCATCTCTGCACCAAATGCTTGCCTGGGGTTTTCATTATTATTATTATTTTAAATAAGTTTCTGCATTTACCTGATCTGTCAGGAGAATGCAATCTCACTCCTACACACCACCTACACACCTCGCTCCTACACACCATTTTTACATTTTTTAAATGCCTCTAAAATTAATTCCTACTTTACCTCAATTATAATAAAGACTTAAAGCAAAGGGTTCAGGAAGAGAAAGCTACCTGGCCACTGTCACCCTCTGCACCGTTCCTCTCGCCAAGTCACAACCAGCCGCATGGTAATTTCTAGCCTGAGCATTTCTGGAAAGGCTTCCCACATTTTTTTACACTACCAAGTTCCCAATGGATGCACAAACACCGCGTAACACCCAACTCCTCACAGGCTTCATTATCCCGCACTCCTCAGACCGGCGTTTACTCTGCAAGCATTTGCGTTTCTGAACTCCAAACTCCTTCCTCTTCCCCGCCTCAAGTCTCCGCTGCACCTCCCGAGTGCCCCCCGGTTTCACACCGAAAATGCGCCGTTCGCTGCAGGCAGTGGAGCCCGCCCGCTCACCCCGCACCGCCACCGGAGCCCCCGTCAGACACCGGCAGCAGACGGACACAGCACCGGCCTTCCAGAGCCGGTCGTGCCGGGCCGCCGGGCGGCCTCTCTCAGCCGTCCGGGGCTGAGCGGAGCAAGGGAGCCCCGTGACGGGCGGCCCCGCGGAGCGGCGGTGCTCAGTCACGGCCCTGACTCAGCGAAACCCCGGCAGACAACGCCGCGCCGCTGCCTCACCGGCCGAGGTGATCATGGTGCCGCCCGGCTGCCCTCGGAAGGGGGATCGGGGAGGTCCGAAGGGTCCGGGGGGGATCGGGTCAGGTCCGGTCCGGCCCAGCCGCGGTTCCGCCGCCGCTGCCCGGCCCGGAAGTGCAGCCCAGGGCCCCTTCCGGCGCCTCCGCGCTGCGCCCGGGAGAGGTGCCCGCGTAATCGCCTGCGCGGGACGGCGGAGAAACAGGCAGGCAGGAGCGGGGCAGCTCTGCCGCCGGGGGCCTTGTACCGCCCGCCGCCCCTCACGGCCCCGCGGGCTGCTCGGGGCTCCCCCACAGCCCTCCCGGGGCTCCCTCACGGCCCCGCGGGCTGCTCGGGGCTCCCCCACAGCCCT